GATGGTGAAGCATTACACAGAACTGTATTTACAGATCAGGTGTTACAGAAGTTCGCTCTTCAAGAAATCATACTTCAGTCTTTTCTGTTGTTCTAGAATACTGTTATCTCCTTCTATTGTCATTGTTCCATCAATTAGTAATTAGGAAAGAACCAGTGCCTGACTCTGCAGATGCTGTTATTCCTCGAGTGGGGGAAAAGAATCTACATCAGCTCACCTTCCAAATACAAGTCTTTAGGCTTACTTAAAATGCAATGACACTTCAACTGTCCTCATTTTCTGGAATTAGTATAGGTCTTGTTCAGGAGATATCTTGTAATGCTTTGAGATAAAACAGCATGTCTGATCTAGTAGGCCTCTAGATTGACAGCTTGGATCAGGTTTTCTAGGCTAAGAATGGAAAGTTACTCAGGGCTGACTTCAGCTCCTGTGTAGAGCCATCTGGAAAAGGTCAACCATTATCACTAGACAAGCCCCCACTGTTGCCTGTGCCAAGATGCTGCAGAGTTGGCATAAAGATGTAGCTGAATTTTGTTGTTTTTTATCCTATATTGTGGGCATCACTGTGTGAGCTGGGTAGGTAGATGAGTTAGCTGTGTAGCATTCAATCAGTCACCTCTGTGGTGATGTTCAGGTACAGCTGAGTAACTTTCTTCTTCTCTGCATATGGCTCTGCTATTGTGCTTTAATATGGTTCAGATTCTCATTCTCTTGGTGCTTTCAGTATCGCATCCATCAAAGGGTTTGAAAACTCCTTTGTGTTTTGTCAGTGATGTTTCTATTTTGGGATCTGTTAATCATGTCACAGAAAATACCTGACTTCTCTGCTTACTAGCCTCTTCCTGTGAGTGAGTCAGAGGTTAAGCTTGTTAAATTCCATTTGGCTCTAGGAGTAGCTACAGTATAAATTTATGTGTATATAGAATGTATTTGGCTGATCCAATAACTGAAGGCAGCATAAGATTTGTTTTACTTAATCAAAGGGATGTCCAGTCTTCTGAGAGTACTGACCATTTAGTCAGTCAGCTCTTTATTGAAACATATGCTGACCTGTTTGAAACAATAAACTGAGAACCATCCGGTAGAGAGAAATTGTGTCTGGATTGCTACTGAGGTTTCCAACAGGAATCACAATAGAAACTGTAGTGAAGTGTCCCTGGCGTGTAACTAAATTGGCAGATGTGGCTGTAAGGATAACCAGGGTATTTGGGTTTGTTCTCCTTACAATACCAAAAAAGGGAGATAAACCCCTCTCTATTGCTCTATTCAATTGCTCTATTTCAGTGTAGCATATTCCATTTCAAAACAAAGCTTTGCATATATGGAGGTCTGATTTTACAGACTTTATGAGACAAAATCCTGAAGGATTCAAAGTACCCTTTTTGTATTTAGAAGTAGGCTTTAAAATTATTTCTTTCCCCTCTGGCTTGCCACAGGGGGCACATGACTATACAATTGTGTCTAGGTACTTAGTTTAGCATTTAAACCAACACGAAAAGCCTTTACACCTTCGAAGTTGCAAACTGTAAGTTAGCAAGTCTTAGATGATCAAATTAATCACTTTCCATGCATAAATGTTCTCCTTTCTTAATGTGCACTACTATTTTTTCTGCAAAGTAGACAAGCAGCAAAGAAAATAACCTCATGCTACATATTCAGAGCTGGTTTACAGCTTTGAGGACTTGCTGTAGAGAAGCTCTCTGTCAGATTAAAACAGTGATGGAACTCATGAGCCAAAAAAAGCCATTTCTGATCTCTGCATGCCCTCTATATAGTCTCAACAGAAAAATTCAACCCAGGCAATTTGCTTTGCCATTTTTCTGAGCAGGAAGTCATGAAGTACTTATAACATAACTATATATGAATTCATCTGCAACCAAGAATATTTACTTTTATTCTGTAACTTTGTAAAACAAACATTTTGGTCTTTTAATCAAACTGATTCCACTGCAACAAAGGATGCAATATATGCCACATGTTTAATCACAAAAATGTTTCTGTTCATGTCAGAGAAAGTAGTTAGGTGCTTAAAAACATATGCCTGCTCAAATTTGTTGTTCTTCAAAGCTTGCATATGTAATACCTTAGTTATCTTTAAATCACCAAAAAGGAACAACAGCTCTTAACCATCTTCAGGATTAAGTTATTCATAGCACTCAGGCGTCTGCTCAGACTTCAGCCTCCAGAACTTAGCTTGTACTACAATAATAATACCAACAATTATGGCCTCATTGTTCTGTGACAGAAACCCTTTGAAAATCTTGTCAGCAAGTACTCTTTTTATCTCAATAAGACCACAATGTACAGGTCCCTGCTCTTAACCCTGGGATGCTTTAAGAAGAATCTATTCTTGTCCAATTGCAGTATTATTGACAAGTTAAACTCTTTTGTTCCTTGTAATGCCTTTAAAAGCAGCACAAACAATATTTGTCCATAGAGTATGAACCTTTTCCAAACTGATCGTTACCATTGTATCTCTTTAGACTTCTAGAATTTGTCTCATAGAGAATGCAAGATGCCGGCTATGTAAATCCAGAGTTCTGTTTGAAGTTGGACACCCAAAATCGAAATAGAGGGCTTAAAATATCTTTCAGACTATGGTCTGGGCTCATGTGGCTTCAGCTTTAAAAACACACTTTATAAGGAGAAAATGTGAAGCCCTGCAGCACTTGCTAAGAGCATGCTGGGGCACTGCATTAGTATCAACAGAGACACAGTCTACAGAGTAATACTAGGCCTCGTTTTCTAGTGGTTGGATTTTCTGTCTCAGCACAGTATTAGCTGGGCCTGATTTTCCTTTCTTTGTTATATCCTTAGCAACCATTGTCTTGGAGTGATTCATACAAGAATAGACTAAATGACTGCACGGATGGTAGGGTTCACTTTTCTCACCATCAGAGGAGGAGAATGTAGACATGTTCACTGCCACAAGCACCCATTTCCTGCACTCTTAAGTTACACTCCAAGTGAGAAGTAGCTGATGTAGCTTGCTACATACTCATTAGTATCAACAGGACCTGAACATTTCCATGCCCATTTTGTCCCAAAGTTCTTTGGCTGCAAATGTTCTTTTAATTTCCTTCTCATTCCTCCCTTCTTACTTGATCTCTCTTTGTACTTACGTTACCTCTTCCTTTATTGTGTGTCGTGTCCCCCCGTCCCCCCCTTTTTTTTTTACCACTAAAACCTAAAAACTCCTGCTCTTGGCTTCTTTCAGGCAAATTGAGTTTGTGCCTTACAGCCTCTGCCCTTCAGATTCTTCCTGCACACACTAAAGTACCTCCAGCTTTTACTTCCTTAGTCCACTCCACAGAATGAGTTGAAGACCTCAGGAGACAGCAGCTGTTCAAGCATGGGAACTATAATGTACTCTAAGATCAACCCTTTTATTTGCAATAGTTCATCAGTACTCTTCCTTCCCCTCTAGTTCTGCAAGCCAGTGCATGCTATAATATTTGCCTTTGATTTCAAGTAGAGCCTGTCTGGATACTGAAGAGCTATAATGGCTGTGGTGAGTTGGAAAAAGTCTTTATCATGGTCTGGTCAATTAAGGCTTATTTGTACACTTGGGACCTGACAACTGGATGGACAAATATTGTTTGTGCTACTTTAAAAAGTGTTACAAAGCATGAAAAAAGCTTTCACTTGTCAATAATACTGCATTTGGACAAGATTCTTAAAGCATCCCAGCGTTAAGAGCAGGGACCTGTACATTGTGGAGGTTTTGAGATAAAAAGAGTTCTTGCTGACAAGAGTTTCAAAGGGTTTCTGTCAGGGAACAATGAGGCTGTAATTTTTAATGCTATTATTGTAGTACAAGCTAAGAAGTTCTGCAGTCCAAGCAGATGTCTGAGTGCTACATTTGGAAAAGGTGCCATTAAACATTTGTGACATCAATGTGATATTAAACAATGTAACATTATGCAACAATTAAATATCTGAAAAATTATTTCCATGGAAAAATGATGATTCTCCAATGTTTGCCTGTACATGAAGAAAAACTGGATGGTGTTATGAATTGACAAATTTAACATCAGTTGTATGAAGCGAGAATAATTCTAAACCAAAATGCTAATAGAAGAGAGAAACAGCTATTTTATGTAAGCTCTGCTCCTAGAGATGTCCAAATGGCTATTTAAAAATCATCTCACAATCTTTACTGGGTGAAAAAAATGTAGAAATTCTTCTCACAGCTTTTGGATAACTTTTACAAGAGACTATGTCTTTGTATTTGTCCTGGGTTCAGCAGTAGCAGTCATTTTTGTCCTTCTTGGTAGCTAGTGTCTTGGTAGCTGGTGCAGTGCAGTGTTTTGACTTTCAGCTCCCAAACAGAGCTGATAACAAGGATGTTTTGGTTTGGCCGAGGACTTTGTGAACCTCATGCTCTGCCAGGGAGGAGGGGAAGCTGTGAGGAAGCAGACACAGGACACCTGACCCAAACTGACCAAAGAGGTATTCCATACCACAGCACGTCATGCCCAGGATGTAACTGGGAGTTAGCCGGAAGGGCTGGTAGACTGTGGGGTTGGAGGAGGTATCGGTCGGTGCTTGGTCGGGCTTGGGGGGCGAGTTATCGGTTGGCTGGTGGTGAGGTGATGTATTCTCTTCCCTTGTTATTTCCTTTATCATTGTTATTATTGATGGTAGCAGTAGTGATCTCTGTTATACCTTAGTTACTAAAATGTTTTTATCTCAGCCCATGGGAGTTGCATTCTTTTCGATTCTCCTCTCCATCCTTCTGGGAGTAGGGGGAGGGAAAGAAGGGGGGGAGTGAGTGAACGAGTTACCTGACTGGGTTTAAACCACGACAATATTTCTTTCATTTAAGTTTTATAGATGTATTTTCCCCATGCCCTTATTAACTGACTTTCTTGACAGATGAAATGAGGTATGTTTGGCCTTGGTAACTAGAAGGACATATACCTATATGTAAGTCTGCCTGGTTTGAAGGTATCTGTTCTGGCCCTCTTTCTAGCACATGCCTCAAGTCAATCATGCACTTTGTTTTCACATGTTCTTTATTTTCTCATTCAGTCCACAAGCAAAATATGACAACAGAATTGTAGATAACAATAAGATCCCAGTCGGGAAGTTCTCCTTATTCTGAGCCTTCTTCCTACAGGTACATGAAGTAACTTCATATAGGATTACCAATAATTAATTATTTGAACTGGGAAAGAAACAGCTGCCGATCAGTTTATTCTTTCCCAGAATGGTCAAACTGAATTCAGTTGGAGACAAAATTTACATTACTTTGACCACGCTAAATTGCTGGTTTCTACATTCTTAGGATGGTGAATGTAGATTCTATTGGTCATAATTTCCTTTCCTCATATACTCTCTTTTGGAATGTGAGAAGACAAAGTCCAGTCCTAGTTCTCAATAAGGCTGTAAGTGGCATGCTGGGATTTTCAAAAGTCATAATTCATCTTTCTTCTTCAGGATGATTTTCCTTACAAGTTCTGTAACATAAGGTCTTATTTCTTCAACAGTGACTGCAGAGTCCCAGGCCTTTACTACTTTCCCATTGGGGTCCACCAGGTATTTCCAGAAGTTCCAGGTTGGTTCTTCTCCTGTAGAATCTATAAGGGTGTGGGGAAATAAAAAAAGTGGGAACTTAGAAAAGCAAACCAGGATGGCCAATTCCTGACATTTGTCAATTTGATGATGACCCTCTCAGAGGAAGAAGGAACATAAAATTAAGGGGGAGTTGAGAATGAGTAATGAGATTCATTTTCTGACAGATAGTAGCGCCCTGGAGACTAATGGAAACAGCCGAGCTTGAGAGAGGCAGGAGAAAGCACTATAATCAGTCTTAAAAGTGTGTGCTTACACATGTGTGTGTCTGTGCTATATAGACAAATCCAAAACAGTTGAACACTGATAGGAAAATGGAATTGGGCATAACAATATAGCTATATTAGGAGTATTTGCTTATCCAGATTTTTTCCAGTAGCATGTGCTTCAGAAGAACGTTTCAAGAAATGCTACATGAAGAAATAACACAGTAAACTGTTGCAGATTTCCTCTTAATCCTTATCTATGAGTTTTTCCCTCCATGACCACATAGTCATTTTACATGAGTCGCATTCTTATTCTTTACTATTCTGCTACATGACTAATAGAATGCTCAGGATTTTCAATCAGACCAGGAGCCTCATTGCAGTAATAGCACAAGTGTGTGGACCAACAAAGAAACAGAAGGTTTGCAAGTTTCATGTGACATGTCCGCAATAAATAACCCTGCTTGGCAAAAAGAAATAGAAGAATGTGAAGGGGATTAACAGGAAGTCTGGCTGGCAGAAAAATCCATTACAGACACCTGGAAGGAGGTGGGCTTGAGGTAGTCAAAAATACTACCAATACTCCTTTAAAGTCAGTGGTATGTGGGAGAACACTGGTTCTGGAGAGAAGCAGCAGCGATATGGTCCCTGCAGAATGCAGCTCAGGTGATACCGTATCATATTGGGCTTTATTAAATATCATTGCTTCAGGCATTTGACAATGAAGACATTTCCTTCACCCTGGATAAAGACTGACATTTTTGTTTGGCATTTAAATGGTATTTAGAGCATTCACCCACACAAGAAAAGTAGTGCTCTGATAGAGAATATTCTGCTTTACAGTGTAGTTTGTCAGCTGTCTGCTAAGAACCAGCAAAACCTCTTCAGGTCTCAGTGCCAGCTGTAATGCAGAATAGAACTGGAGGGACCCTACATATGGCTGTTCTGATGCTTGGCAAGGAAGGAGGAAGGGAGTATTCAAGGACATCTCTTACTGCCTGGTTTCACTTTGTAATTGTTGAAGTAAATTATGTAGGTGCTTTGCTTCCACTTATTCTACAGCTCTTGAGATGGACTTTATAAATCCAACCTGCAGCATCTGTGTCACAGGAGAAGCACTTACGAGACTCCAAAGTGGAAAAAGGAAGATCAGGTGTTGTATGCATACAGGAGAGTACTTCAAGACCTGTATTCCATGTAGAGGTTTATTAGACTAGCTTTTACAGGGCATCTGTTATCATACTGTCCATCCTTGGAGATCTAGATTACTCACCAATTAAGTACTTGAAGGCAGGAATCGCACCAGCTCCGCTGACTGTAGTTTTGCTGAACATAGGGAAGGAGGCACTGTAAGTCTTTCGTGCAAAACTCTCAATTTCTTTGTTGGTGTCTGGTTCTTGCTGCCCAAACTGATTGCACGGGAATGCCAGGACATTGAAATGATACGGGCCGAGGTCCCTCTGTAGCTGTTGTAAGGCCTTGTAGTGGCTATCTGTGTACCCACACTCGCTTGCAACATTGACAACTAGTGACACCTGAAGAACAAGAGAGATGAAAAGATGTGCTGCACATGTCAGTTTTCCAACAGGAAGGCTTGAAATGAGAACATCTAGAGAACTGTGACCAAACACCTGTGTTTGAAACTACACAGAGTTCTGTTCACAACAGGAAGATTCAATCTTTCTTTTATGTATTCCCATTTGGCTACCATGGAGTTAATGAATAAACTGCTAAGTAATCTTAATTATGAGTTCACAGAGAAGCTATGTTTCTCCATTCTGCCTTTTGCATGGTTTCCAATCATATTCAAGGAATTACTATTCAGCTAAGATATACCAAGTTGAATGAAACTTGCCAATGAATGTATTTTGGGTAGTTTGTTTATCTTTCATGAAGCATCTGTTCTGCAAGATCCGTCCTTGCACAGAATTTAGTATTCATGAAGAATTGGCCGATCCATCATTGCTGGTGTAGATGCCTTGGCCTGGAAGTTAACAGAAGCAATTACAGGATTTTGGGTTGGTCTGTGCGGTATGGGTTGTGAAATTTCCCACCATTTCTAGAGTAAACCTACTCAGTTGTGATAAAATGACAACCTTTTGCATAAAGGTTTACTGCCTCCATTAGAGACTCCAAGAAGTGAAGACTGTGCCCACTACCCTTTAAAGTCATTCCTGTAGCTGATCATCTTTGACATCCACATTGTGTCATTCAGACATTACCACCAGGCATGTATCTGCCTGTGCACATCCAGCAGAGAGGAAGGTACCAAACACAGGAGAGCACTACATGAAAACAGAGGTGTATGTAAGGAGAATACAGACTGGAACAGATTCCAACAAGAATTTGTTAGGGAAATGAAGTAACCTAACCCTGAGTTGACACATATTCACAGTTTCTCAAGGCCTTGAAGAGCTTTCCATTGTTTTTTGAGGTATTTTCTCCTTAAATAACTCCTAGAAACTACTTTTAGACTTAGGGGTTTTATTATTCCTACCAATTTTATAAGTGTGACTTGCCACTCATTCTACATAAATTGAGTCCATTCTAATGTTTTCTTGTGTGTGCCACAGATATTTTAGATACAGGATGATTTTATGAATAAAAATTGCATTATGCACTTTATAGTAATTTCTTTTACATTCTATTCCTTTTTTCAGACCAATATGCAAGACTCATAAGGCAATATAAATAGTATAATGCTAAAAATGTTTCTACTCACCTACATTAATGTTGGGCATAGTGCAGAAAAAAAGCATTGTGATTTGGGAACCAAAATTCTACCTGGCTTACGCTAAATCTGCTGGGTTTCTACAGATTATACATCAGCCTAGCAGCTAGTTCTTCATTCTCAAACTGCAAAAAAAAGTTTAAATTCAATCAAAGTAACCAACACATTCCCCAGTACCAGCAGAACAATGGTGGCCATTTGCATTGGATCTTTCTATGAGACTTTGGATGTCTCATGGAAGCTGGCATGTTCTCTTTATTATTGTCAGTGTGAGACAGCAGTGTTGAAGGGCCCAGTGCTGCCAAGAGGAAAGCCTGAAGCTTGGACACATAAATTGACCTTATAAAAACTGCAGAGCAAGTAACTGCAGGCATATTAGACAGCAAGTAAGTGCAGGGCAAGAAAAGGAAGTGAAAAATCCTGACTCCAAATCACAGACTCTTGTGTCTGTGACCACTGCCTTTGCTCAATTTAAGCTTTGGATTCTTATGTTACTATTGCTCCATATTCCTGTCTGTAAGTTTTCATGAAAAATATAGAAGTATATAGGGAATAAGAATAGAATGATTCAAATAAATTGTATGAAAAATAAGCTACTACATAGAATCATAGAATAGTTAGGGTTGGAAAGGACCTTAAGATTATCCAGTTCCAACCCCCCTGTCATGGGCAGGGACACCTTCCACTAAAACATGCCACCCAAGGCTCTGTCCAACCTGGCCTTGAATACCACCAGGGATGGAGCATTCACAACCTCCCTGGGCAACCCATTCCAGTGCCTCACCACCCTCACAGTAAAGAAATTCTTCCTTACATCCAATCTAAACTTCCCCTATTTAAGTTTTAACCCATTACCCCTTGTCCTACTACTACAGTCCCTAATGAAGAATCCCTCCCCAGCATCCCTATAGCCCCCCCTTCAGATACTGGAAGGCTGCTATGAGGTTTCCAAGTCTATTTTGTTTTTAAGGCCAGAAAACAAACTGGCATATAACATTCCATAATGTGGATAAGGTAGGAGATCATAAAATGAAATCCCTTGAAGCAGTAGGAGTAAAGAAAAAGCTAAGGAGACGTTGGTGTTTAGCATTTCTTACATTAAACATTAGCACTTACTTTGTATTTTGTACCTTGTGTAGATATGTTGGTATATTTAAAGTGGTTTCAGAGTGGCACTGTTTTCCCTGAAAGACAGGTAATCTTATAAAGTACAAGCTGATGTAATCTTCCTTGTGGTCAGCAGCATACAATCTAAGCAGTCCCTGTACACTTACACATGAAATATGATCTGGAGCCATCTAGCTAACTACCAAAGCATCACATTCCTTCAGACAACATTTATAAGCTCTACCTGAACTTGTAAATTCAGTCTCCTAAAACATCCAAAGACAGGCATATAATTAGATGTTTCATTTTCAGAGAAGTAACAATTTTATGATGCAGGCTGTCAGCATTTCAAATAGATATTGGACATAAAAAATAACTGTTGGCAGTTCTGTTCATGTCAAATAATCTGCATAGTGGTAACTGTAGTTTAGTGTGATTGAAGTAAAAATAGGTTGTACCGCTGACTTTAAGCCACATGTAGTTCTTTCAGATGAACTTCTAGAGGCTTTTTAAAGTACAGTTTAAGACTCAGCATTCTCATGATGCAGAATTATTTGGATACTTCACTGTATTCACATTTCTTGGTACTCCATCCCAAATACAATGGCAATGCAAGAATTTATCATGGGAGGTTTGGGGGAAACAAGGTTGTGTAGGTATTATGTTCATTTTATAACAGACAGGAAGGGTGACTTGCCAATGAAAATAACTAAGCTTTTGTAACTTTACATGATTTTGAAGTTAGGAGGGTTGAAAGAATTCACTCAAAAAGAAACAATTTTAATTTCCAGCTGTTTAAAACCAGTGGTTACTTGGCATGGTGGTGAAAGGCATGAGAGGATCACACTGCCAATGGTGCAAACTTCCAAGTGTTCTCCCACAAAATAGGAGGAAATTATACGCAGCATTTCCTAGAATGGCAGGCACATTGTGCTTCCTTTTTTTTTTTTCCTTAGAAAAAGGCATTCTGTTACTGAACTCTGTAATTCAATGCTGCAACCCTCCTAAGAGTATAACTAACAAATATAATGCGAAACTGTCTGAATTTATTAGCATTTCATAAGGAATGTTCAAAATGGTTGTTTAAAAATCCTTACCAAGTTATCTTTCAAGTGTCTGGCACCAGAAATCAAATCATAGAAGGGTTGGAAAGGACCTTAAGATCATCCAGTTCCAACCCCCCTGTCACGGGCAGGGACACCTCACACAAACCATGTCACCCAAGGCTCTGTCCAACCTGGCCTTGAACACCACCAGGGATGGAGCATTCACAACCTCCCTGGGCAACCCATTCCAGTGCCTCACCACCCTCACAGTAAAGAAATTCTTCCTTATATCCAATCTAAACTTCCCCTATTTAAGTTTTAACCCGTTACCCCTTGTCCTACTACTACAGTCCCTAATGAAGAATCCCTCCCCAGCATCCCTATAGCCCCCCTTCAGATACTGGAAGGCTGCTATGAGGTCTCCATGCAGCCTTCTCCAGGCTGAACAGCCCCAACTTTCTCAGCCTCTTCATACAATGATTCAATGCAGTGATATCCTTTTTTTCTGTGTTCTTAACAAATACTCTTTATGCTCTCTTCCAGAGGCTGTACTTTGACTTCCTACAACTATTAACGATTTAAGTTCACTGTGCCTCTTGCCTGACTTTAGGCTGCGAGAGTGCAAGTCAAGCACACCACCTAGTGTGCAGTGCAAACAATTCAGCCTGGACCTTACCAAAATCATTTCGTTAAAGCTGAATGCTGTATTAGCTGTTGTCTGACTTCCTCATACTATCCTTTCCTTCCCTTTGCTTAGAAAACCCATGCATTCTGGAACTCATTTTTTAACACTGCAAATATAGTTCTTGATTTACTTAATGCTTACACCAGCGTACCTCCTTCAGGAAAAGATCCCTGGACAGATTTGTCAATCTGCTGTAGTTTCAAGTAACCCTTTGTGGATCTTGTAGCAGACAGCAGATACTATGGGGTTTAGACCTTGAGATTCTTAACTGGCTTCATCTGACTGATGGAAGAACCAGTCACAAGTGTCAGATTAGCCCAGCTTGGAGTTGTTATCTTCATGGAAAGAAACAGCAATACTTTGTCGAGTAATGAAGTAGCTATACTCTGTTTATACACATTCAGTAATACTACATTCTCAGATTGCAGACAGCTGTGATACAAACTGCCTAGCATTACTATCAACAGTAAAATAATACTTTACATTGTTAAAGTGCCTAATGCTTTTACATTATTATACTACCTTTAGTTCAACATTTCCAAAGCACTGCACTAACACTGCTTAATTACACCTCAGCATGCTGTACTTTGCTGTGTGGTGTGTAGATACGCAGGCAGGCAGTAGGCACTATTGTATCTAGATAGGTATAAGCATAGCAGGAATAGTTGATGCTTGGGAGTTCTGACTCTCAAACAGATACTATTTTTGAGAAGAATACTGCCTCTTACTGTGTATCTCATGAAAATCATAAAATATAATAGAAGCTTTCTTGAATTATATGGGTGGATAGATCAGTCAGAATCATGAAATCACAGAATCAGATAATGGTTTGTGTTGGAAGGGACCTTAAAGCTCATCCAGTTCCAACCTCCTGCCACAGGCAGGGACAGCTTCCACTAGAGCAGCTTGCTCCAAGCCCCATCCAAACTAGCCTTGAGCACTGCTGGGGATGGGGCAGCCACAGCTTCTCTGGGCACCCTGTGCCAGTGCCTCAGCACCCTCACAGGGAAGAACTTCTGCCTAGTATCTAATCTCAGTCTCCCCTCTGTCAGGTTAAAGCCATTCCCCCTTGTCCTGTCACCACAGGCCCTTGTAAAATGTTCCCTCTCCAGCTTTCTTACCAGCCCCTTCAGGCACTGGAAGCTGCTCTAAGGTCTCCCCGGAGCCTTCTCTTCTCCAAGCTGAACAAACCCAGCTCTTTCAGCCTTAGGAGAGAAAACTGATTTTATTTGGATCCTGATAATTTTCTTCCAACAACGCATCACTGCCCTTCATTTTTAATGTAGGTGGGTCAACATCAGTCTGGTAGCCTGGAATAATCATTGAAGGATGACCTTTATGCACAACAGAGTAAAACACACAGCTTTTTGATCTATTTTGCTTGTGGTATGCTTTTTTCCAGTTGTAATAGTCTTCCCTTTCTTTGCTTTCAGGCCATACGATACCTGATTTTGTAGCATGTATGCCAAATTTTTAGCATTCTGGCTATATAATTTCTTATGCGCCCATAAAAAGGGGTACTCCCTATCATATTTTTGGTATTTTCATTAAATTGGAGGATAGGTTATGTCTGCACACATTTCTTTCAGGGAAGAAAATTACTCTGTTCCCTTCTTTTTTTCATTTTGTTATTTCAGAACTGTTAGTACATTTCTTATTTATTCTATAACAGAGGGTACTTGTGCTTTGTATCAAGATGTGCTTGAATAGAAATTGAATCAATATCAACCAGCCTTATTTTTTTCTTACTAAGAAAAATGGTTTCAATTATTGAAATGCACAATAATTTATATTGAGGTATTGAAGAAAGATTCTGCAAGTCATGAATTGCACTGGTTGTTTAGACTTAGCACAGCTCTAGAATTAGCAGACTTTATTGTTTTCTTTAATACTCTGTATTTTTTCAATGCCCAGTTAGTTTCTTGACTACCAATGAAGTAATTATTTAACTAAATCAGTTGAGTGAATCAAATGAGTTGAATTGAATCGAATGTCTTCTCTACATCTGCCACAAAGCTTAAGGATGTTAAAAGCTGGTTTAGCAATTAGCAGACTATTGTTCCAGGGGCTAACTAGTGACTCACTTTCTTTGTAACACCAGCAGCACACGTAGCACATACTACCTGCTTTCTTTAAATAGCTTTAAAATATTACGATAAAGTTACATCTAAACATTACTTACTGCATATTTAAGCAGGTTCATTTTAAGAAATAACTGGGAGCTTTTATTAACCTCTTTCTACCTCAATACTGACTTCTGACAACATAATAACAGAAAGAGATGTGTTTTATTGCTAAAATATTCCTTAAAATAGTGCACGTGCTATCAAACAACATCTAGCCTCAATATTAATAACCTCTCTGAATTCAAATTTTTTTGTTCCAAACAGAAGCCGGTCATCAGTTTTTTAGCTGGAATAAACTATTCCATATGGCCTAGCAGAGATCAGAGTACCATGTACTGATGGTGTTACCTTTGTCAAGGTATGGCTCTAGTGCTCTCCCTTTTGAAGCCAGTCATACCTTGGGGATGGTTTGGTACCATAGCACCACTGGAGATATAGGTATCCTCCCCTAACCTGGTGTGTCCATGAGATTCCAGAATTCCCCCTTTACTTATTTCCATGTGGATTCTGGCCCTGATGTAAAGAAGCTACAGGTGGTATTTGCTTATTCAGGCATATCTGCAGATGACCTGCAGACAAAATATGCCCCAGTAACAGGATTTATTGACAGAGCCTTTGGAAAGTACTCAAAAAAAAAACCAAAAGCAAATACTGCTTAATGTTAAATAGCTTCCACGGTTTTTTTTCAATATAGGTATTTGAATGGGCATGGGACCAATTCTGCTCTGAATTACGAAGGAGGAAGGAATACCTAAAGGGGAAGGACGACTTCAACCAGGTAAGATTCAGACCTCTCATTTGGTCCAAATTCACCAGTATCCCTTTATACTGAGCTCAGGAAAGTGTCCCATCTCCTCCCATATACCTTCTCTGTCTTCCTGCCAATGTTTTAGTGACCTGCTGCTGTGGATTAGTGAGCTCAAACACCTCAGTGAAGTCCCTGACAATGGGGGAAAAGGAAAGTGGAAACACCAAGCTGGAGAATCAGAGTGAGCATGAGCAGTGCTGCCTGCTCTTTTGAGTAGCAGCCAAGCTGTTGGACTGCCTGGCTGCATCACTGAAGATGTGTCACTTGAGCACTGAGGATGGCAGCTGTGGGCTTTATGTTGATTTTAGTTTCTGTAATTTGTAAATGTGGCTCTAAGAGCTTATAGTATTACATCCCCCACATGCTAAGTTCCCTTTTCACTTTTCCATAGGTACTGGTCATGCCACTAGAAATGAAAAATCACATCAGGCTACATTCAAGGAAACTGTTCTTAAAATGGGAAGGAAAGCTCTGCTTAGAAATACTTAATGTAATATGTAAATAAAATCTAAAAGACATCATAGAAGTATGTAAGTATCTACATGCCCTTCTCCATATTGCTCTAGCACGCTAAAAAGTGACAATGGGAATAGTATTGTGTTGCTACAATTTCACTATATACTGATATTAAAATAATTATAATGTCTCCAATTTTTTACTGTGGTGAATCTGTTAACTCCATTAGCCACTGATTAAATCCCCTTTTTATTATTTTTTTTATCATTTAGAATAATACAAAGAACTGTGATTCCGGTAAAAATAATTTCCTAAAAGTCATGCAGTTAAAAGGCAGAAAGAGAATCATAGACTCAACAAGGTTGGAAAAGCCCTTTAAGATCAAGTCCAACCTTCAAATAAACTCCAAAAGTGAGTTATACACTGGTACAAACTTCCTGAAGTGCAAATATAATAGCCACAAGGCAGTGCAATTCATCCTGCTGGATGGAAGGCAGGGAAGTCAGGCAGGCATTCCCTTGCCTGCCACGTCTACAGGCTGCAGCCCGCACCGGCAGAAGACGCGGAGACACACACACAGAGGTTAGGACCGCAAACGTTTTATTTAAAGAGCGCAGTGGAGCTGTATGACAAGCAGCATGCAGGCAACGCTCCAGACCGGTTACAGAGGCGCCGTGAACGCCAATCTCCCCGCATGTGTGCACCAAGTTAATGTACAACCTCTCCACCCCCATTTGGCTGCTGCAGACATGCAAGGACTGGCTGTTAAGTGAGTCCGGGCGAGAGGCGCCCATCCCCGTGCGGACTTACCGAGCCCCTGTATTTCTCCAGAGAGACTAGTTTGCCCCTTATGTTTACGACTTTGAAAGTGTAAAAATCAGGCTCCTTCTGCTGCGTAGCGGAAAAGGCTAAGAGCAGCAGCGCTGCAATTGCAAGGAGCATGGCTACAGAGATGAGGAGAACTTTGGGGAAGGAAGACGAAGGCTTGTGCTCCACACTGCCCTCAGGATCTAGCATGCTGCACGGCCGTGCTGCAGGCACTTGCCACGGTAGGAAAGCGCTGCCGCAAAGAAAGGACTGCTGCAAACGGAGCTTTTGCAACAGTCTGGCTTCTGCAGAGGTTTGGGAGCTGTGTCCAGAGCTCGGAGGATGTATTCATGGGAATTCGAATGCTCTAAAATGGAGTATTTCATGGTGGTGGTGGTGTGTGAAGTAATGGGTACACGATAAATGAAAGTGCTCGTTGGCTTGAGAACAGTAATACTGCATGGGTCTGGGGGGTACCAGAGACATATCAGAGATCTGCTTTCACCATGTCCTAGAAAAATAAGGGGTAGTTAATTGTGATTTTTGATGGATTTATAAGTGCCTTTTTTTTTAGTATGCTGGCTACAGCATCTGGTAACCAGGGTGTAATGGCAAAGGATACCAGTGGCTTGGTTGCTAGTGGTTACTGATGCAAGTACTCAGAACGAGAGTTGCAGCATACAGTCAGCAAAAAACAGAATTACAAACATAGAATCATAGAATCACAGCATGGTTTAGGTTGGAAAGGACCTTAAAGCTCATCCAGTTCCAACCCCCTGCCATGGGCAGGGGCACCTTCCACTAGACCATGTTGCTCCAAGCCCTGTCCAGCCTGGCCTTGAACACTGCCAGGGATGAGGCACATACCGTGCACAGTATCATGTGAAATGGAGAACCGTTAGCCAGGCCTTCAGGAAATTCATCTCTGCATACACCTGCTTGCATGAAAGGAGTGGCCAGACAACTGGTTTTCAGTGTGATCTGGGAGAAACCACATTACCAAAAGGTTTTTAAGGAAGAAAGAGGCATTAAGCATCACAAAATGAATTTGGTACCAAGCTTTCAGATGCACAGAGCCAAACCACTGCTTCAGTGCACTGATGTCATTCTTTACTTGTCTGCAAGAAAAAATAGCCATTTGTACATAGTTTGCTGCTATGGCTGCTGGGAGAAGAGGGTATGCATATTTAAAGTAACAATAGAAAGCATTTTATGATCACTGATTTCTTTTTGGACTGAGGAACGGGTGTTCCATGCCTATGAGTGTGGTAATTCTTGGCAAAGCAAAGCACAATGTAGTGATTTACAGAAAACAATTAAGTAGCACATCCCAGGTGTATTGGAAATCTATCTCCTGAAGAGCAAATTATATTTCGTAACCTCACTTTGTGATTGTGATATTTTTTTTAACTGAGTTTTGGTAGGTCTTTGATATCTTGATTAGATTTGGCTGGGTAATTCAAGCATAAATAGCATTACTATAGGGGAAGAAGCCATGTATAACTAGCTGAAAAATTTAATGACAGTTTTTAAACATTTCAGGTATTTCATGGTATTATGTATTTCAGGTAAAGTACAGATCCAGCATCAAGAAATAATGCAATAATACTACAAAAATATATAGATGGAAAATCTACTGTGCTGTCTATGCGGAAGATATACTGTGCTAAGGATGTGAAGTTCTCACCTTCACAGGTAAGTGCTACTTTTCTGTATATTTGGTATACTTTCCTGGCTGCAGTATTAACCAAAACCCTTTCATTTAGCTGACAGTCAAGTATGTTTTCTTCATTTTATAAATAATCTAAGAGGCTTCTTCACACACAGCTAGAGATGGAGAATAGGGCTTTAATACAGTATATACATTTAAATATAGTTTAAAAACCTAGTAAATCCTAACAATAGTTAAAAAAAATCATCCCAATGATGAAGATAATTCAACATAAGCTTTTTTTTTTTTTTTTGCCAGAAATTTAAAAAGAAATATACAGTATACTTTTACACTTTTGGGGGCATAAAGTTATAGTAGTTTGGGTATGGGACTATGTCCTGGGTTCAGCTGTTAACAGTTATTTTTCTCCTTAGTAACTGGTGCAGTGCTATGAGGCATCATGCTACAACACGAGACAAGCAAGGTTTTGCTTTGGAAAAGGGACTTTATAAAATCTGCTTCCTACAGCTTTGTGATGATTGTCTCCGACTTCTAGACTTAACGAGTTTCAGAATTATATTTTCTTTTATAAGCTGAGCCCCAGATCTGAAAGGTTTTGGTCACTGGCACTGGGTTGGGAATTCTTTAAATAAGGGCCAGCTGGCAGTAGAATCCAGCTTCCTCTTTTACTGCCATGTGTCTGTATTGCTCCCTGCAATAGTACATTCTTTAACATCAGCAAAGAAGGAAGACCGTTCTTTAATACACAGAAGACTATGTCAAAGGCTGTTGGCTTTATAATGATTTGAGTTTTCAGAGCCAACTGCACTAGCGTTTCATATTAGTGTCTATCCAACTATTTAAATATGATATATTCTAATGAACTTCAGCTTGCAGGAAAAATGCCAGTCAGGTTTGCAAAATGGTGTGTGTTTGCTCGTTAGCATGTCTAAATGTTGATCCAGGAGGACTGTACCCAGTAGCAAGTATAATTTACTTTCGGAATTTCCTCTTTGGCTTGCTAAACCTAATAAAAATCTTTGTCAAATAGGACTGGACAGAAACCACCAACCACCTAACCTCAGCTGTCCCCAAACACCGCTGCAATTGCTGTCACTGCTGACCCAGACTGGACTGGCCCATGTTCTTGAAGGTGAAAGCTCCACACTACATCCATTACAATGCCTGCAGCTATCCAATCCTCATTTGTAAAACATAAATTTCAAGTGAGCCACAAAAAAAGCAGATTAGCTCTAAGGATTGAACTGACTTCACAATACATTCAGAAATAACATACTTAGTGAATCCACTATTACAGATCTTGCAACTTTTGTTTACCTACAGAGACTTTGAGGCGGTGTTTCCAGCATTCCTATTCTCATTATTTTTAATACTTTCCTTTGAACCCCTTAGGGATTTCCACATTAATCTTTTGCATGCCTTGTTTTTCTGGAAAGGCTTCCTTATCCTGGGCTAGCAAGTGCCAACAACATGACATTTCACTGCCAAGAAGGGGTACTGTATTGGATCACAGAGGGATTTGCTTTACACAAGCACTTGCCAATTTCTTTAGGTCACTCTCCAGCACTGCCAAGAGCCAGGCGGGCCAGCTCTGTCTCCCCCGAGACCTGCACAGCTGCCAGCAGACACGCCGGCCAGCTTCATGTCAAGGTCAGGGAGCCAGCAGCCATTTCCCCCCGGCATCCCTGTTCTCCACAGGCTGCTTTGTGTGCAGCACACCCGCCCCTCTCCACCCAAGCAGCGCTGGGAGCAGAGGGAGAGGGAGGGACGCCCTGAAGAACGGGGGAAGACGACCCTCCAGGCGGGCCCTAACCCCGCTCCACAGGGCCTGGCGTGCGTGGGGAGAGACCTGGAATGCAAAATAGGATAAAAATTAGGATGAGCGTAGGGGAGTAAGGAAAAAATGTAGCTGCTTAAGCCCGCGTTCCTGTTTCCTGCTGTGGCACTGGGGTAGGAAGGCTCTGAATGCCGGCGGTGATGGGAGGGGGACACTGCCCCAAAGGAGGGGCAGTTCCGCGGGGCAAGGGGGGCTCCATCAGCCGGGCACGATCCGGGTAGGGTAAGGTAAGGTAGGGTAAGGTAAGGTAAGGTGGGGCAGGGCAGGGCAGGGCAGGGCTGCACCGCACCAGACCCAGGCATCCGCACGCCGCCGCCCGGCAGCAGCGCCGCCCGCCCTCGAGGCTCTCCCTCCCGCCCTCGCCCCACAATGCATCGCGCGGCGCGACTGACATGGCGGCCGGGCCGGACTGAGCCGCTGGCGTCGGGGCCTCCAGCAGCTGGAGCCGGGCATGGCGGGGGCGCAGCCCCGGCACCCCTAGCGCCGCAGCCAGGTACCGGGCTCCTGGGGCTAGGGGTGCTCCGCCCAGCTCCCTGGGCCTCCCCCGAGGGGTGGGGGTGGCTGGGCGCTCTCTGCTCCCCCCGCTGAGCCGGGCGGGGGGAGGCGGGCTCCGGAGGGGGGGGCCTGTCCACGCCGGCGCCCCCCGCCTCAGCCTGCGGCGCCCCAGCTCCGCCTTGTCCCTGCCCTCCGTCTTGCGCCCCGCCTCGATGGCCCTTAGCGGCCTCCCCACCTCTCGCCCGGGCAGGGGGCCGGCGCTGGGGTTGGCCTGCACACCCGGCCGGGGGCCCTGGTTGTGGCCTGGGGGCTTGGGGGTCGGCCGCAAGGTCAGCGGGGAACGGGAGCCGGCCCCACGGCAGCGTCCAGGCGGGCGGGCGGTTGCTGTGAAGGCAGTGCCCGGCTGAACGCCCGTTGGGGTCTGCAGAGCAGGAGCTGGGTGCTGGCGCTTATTCTCACGGCCTGTGGTAACTCCACACTGGGGGGAGGACCATTGCGGTTGTTGAGGCTCCCCGAGGAAATGGCCCTTTCTCCCGTGCCGTCCTCATGAGCCGTGTCCCCCTCTGACGCCTATTTCCAAAGCGAAGGTTCTCCTTTCTGTGGGTCGTGATGTGCCTGAAATGACACACAGGCATCCCTATACCCGTGTGTTTGTGCTCTTTTGTTGGCTTATCTTGTATACAAATACAGCTGAACGACTCTCCGGCTTTTGCAATATGTTGCAATGTGCCAGTTGGCTGAATGTGTCATATTACCTGAGGCCTTCTTGCTTTTAAGGTTGTTTCTGGGTATGTCAAAGGAAGGCAAGCTCATAACATGCAGACAAACAATATAATCAGGTTTAGGCTAAGGTGGGGATTAGTACAGTAAAATCTATGGATCTAATGATTTCTTTATATTCATGCCACCTCTACGTCACTTGGCTTCCTGAGCACTGTGCCCTGGATTCGAGTCATTGCATTTGCTTTAAAATAGAGGATGTGTTGCTTCTGTTTTCATTTGAATTGTGCTCCGTGTTTCAGTAGGTGCTTTTTGGATAGTCTGACCCCAGATAGTTATAATTATTTCCATTATGAGAAAAGTAAATCGGCCATGGAAGTATGACTTAATTACAGTCTCTGGCAGAAGGTGCTATATTAGGATACAAACACCATTTTTGCAGGGAGCTTTTTAAGTAATTTTTCCTACCTTACTGAAAATGCCTTTAAAAAGTAGATTTTGGGATGAAATTATAGTTTCCCAGAACATAAATATTTGGTTATATA